CAGAGACCTCTCGCAGTCGTAGCAATTGACTTTTGACAAGGGCCGTTACGAGCTTGGCGGAAGCAACGACATCGGAAAACGGCGCTTATGTAACAAAATGATCGACTCCGGGATACCTAACTAGCTACCCAGTATGGAGACCTCCAGCCTGGCCTAGATCCCACCAACTTAAGCATATCAAGGGGTATGGATGGGGGATAGCCTTCACCAGCTAGCTCTAATCTAATATATGTCATGTATATTGTACCCTGGACATGCACAGTACATATACTAATAATAACTAACGGTCCACAAAGAAAAATATCTTTATATATAGTAGCCATGTCTAAGAAACAGTCGACGACGCCTTTATCGCAGGCATTGAAAATGAAAGAAAGAACCTCTCAGCTTCATTTTTGATATATTAATATCCTTATATCCAACCATTTGATCCTATAGATGTGGCTCCTTACACCCACCCCCCTTCTTACGGCAGGCAATAATAGAATATATGTTTAAACATCAAGAAGCAAGGGACAAAGGGGGAAACTGACTAGAAGGATGGTATAAGGAAAGGAAGCCTGGAAAATAGCAAAAGAATAAAGTTCATTCATTTATTCATACATACATACACTCATTCATTCGTCGTCTGGCGGCAACTCGTCCTCGAGATACCGGACTAACGACACCCGCATCTCCGTCGTATCATTTCCGCGCAGCACATCACTCACAAAATGCGCCTCAACTTGCATTTGAACCTGCAGCAGTTTCCACATTGTTAATATTAGTGCTCGTTAATTTTCCCAGTCAATTAAACTAAACCCGTCTTTGCAGCTCCGAAAAAGAAATTATAAACCAAAACTGCGCCGCAGCATGGTTAAAATTTGCCACTCGAAGAAAGAGCAGAAGAAAAGTGCCAATAAATAACTGAAATTAAAATGTAAAATTAATAAAATTAAACACTCACCATCTCCAACGCCCCTCGTAACACGCCACATAGAATATTCGAAAACCACAACTCATCCTGTGCCCGCCCGTCATCAGGCAACTCCACAAAGTCCGCAAGCGGGTTCTCATCGAACACCAGAGAGAAGGATTTGTTATCGCTCGTCCAGTTCGTGATTGTCGGCGTGATGTTGAGGAATATTTTGAATCCAACCTGGAGCAGTAGCAGCAGGCGAATGAGTTGATTCAGGTTAGTTCTCTGATATGCACTTCATATACGCAGATAAAATAGACACTGCTAATAAAAATACTGTAATGACAAGTGATCGCACCTTCGAAATCATATCCGCCGTCTCTCTGAAATTCGCACAGCGGCCGGTATCTGACCTGGCGAGGAAGTCCTCAATCAGCCGCATGCCGATGTTATATCCCATCTTATCCAGCTGCTTGTTTACTTCCGCATAGTCGCTGTCGTAGTCGTCGCAGAGTTGCGCGACGATCGTGCCGTATGTCAGCGTCACGAGCTCGGCGTTGACTTTGTCGACTTTCGTTCTGGGTTCGGGAAGTTAGTGTTTTGCCCGGTGGTTAAGTTTTATGTTGCTCTGCGAATGGGAAATAAGGCCGGGGGTGAGGAGAGTTTAAGAGGGCTATGGGGAAACACAAGGGGATATTCGAGGGATCAATGTCAGAAAAGCTCACTTCCATGTCCTAGGACGCTCCTTGAGGTTAGCACTTCTTGCGTACCGAAGTTTTTTGTTAAACCGTGGGACATCAGGGTGGGAAAACGTACTCTTCACCTATTCTTGACGTTGACGTCTTGGTCGAGGCCATTTCTTTTCTTATATGCTTGAAATGGAGCTAAAACAGGCTAGACGTCTGGAGCTATCTAATCGTGCAGAAACGGTGAAGGTTCTCTGTGTTCTCGGGAATCGTGTCGTAGGTAGGAGTAATAGCCGTGATAATTGTTGCACATTACATATTTCAATCGCAAAACACCGAACTCATTCGGGCACGTGGAGTAGTCGTGGGGTATGCGAAAACTCAATGAATGACGACGATAGATTTGACGATTGGTGGTGTCCTCCCATTTTGTCCCCGCGCGGCAAAGGTTTGAACGCGAAAACTCACTTGGTTTGGCGTTAAAATAAGCGCTCGCCAACGAGCCCAAGAACGACGGGTTGGAAAGCTCGAATTTAACCCATTTACACCCTCGCTGCTCCCCAAAGCGCAATTCGTCGACGGTTATATCATTTCTGTATTTTACTTTTGATTTCATCTTGCATGCTTCCGGTGACTTTTTTTTGCCGTTGATTGAATTCTAAAAATCACCTCCGTTTTCTTCGCCACTTGAGCGAAGCATCCTTCCAAAGCTCTCCCTGATCCGGTAAACAACGAGGACCATTTTCGCATGAGAAGCAGAAGACAATGATGTCTGCGGAAAAGCGTCCTGCGGTGGACTCTTTTCGATCTACCCAGCTGGTCAAACGGCCGAGGTCAGATTCAAATCTGGGCGATGGAAGGGCGGTCGCTGTTGTAAATAATTCGGCACAGAATGGAGCTCTTATACAAGCAGTACGCCCGAAAAACTTTTTTTTTCGTCCATCTCAATTTTGATTACCCAGGGCAAAAATACGAAAGAAAGAGAACAGAATGATATATTGGTGCTTGGGATTGGATGTGAATTGATGGGCTAATGCGTAATGTGGCTGGCTGCTTTGGTTGCTTTTCTCTAGATCCCGCGCACGAGTGGTCTTGAGGCGCCTATCATGGAGCTTACAGGTGCGTTTATTATGGGAAAATTGAGGGCCGGGGGGTTTTGGTTATGGCATGGCACTGATATTTGGAATCTTGCATAGGTCACTCGGGAGAGATTTTTGCTACAAGGTTCGATCCGACGGGTCGGAATATTGCGTCAGGTTCGATGGATAGGTCGATAAGTACGTCGCGCTCTCGATCCTGCAACGTCGATTGCCAATATTTCTTTCGATATTTCTTGAACATGGGAGGACTAACTCTGACGTTCTTCTGGGGCGAAATTACAGTGCTATGGCGAACATATGGACAATGCGACAACTACGGCGTAATCACTGGGCACAAGGGAGCAGTTCTAGATTTACACTGGTCACGAGATTCGAAAATCATTTTCACGGCATCCGCAGACATGACCCTTGCCAGTTGGGATGCCGAATCTGGGCAAAGAATACGTCGACACGCCGGACACGAGGAGATCATCAATTGCCTCGACGTCAGCAGAAGGGGCCAAGAATTGCTAATAAGTGGCAGCGACGACGGGTGCGTGGGAATATGGGACCCGCGACAAAAGGACGCGATTGACTTTTTGGAGTCTGAGATGCCTGTCACGGCCGTCGCGCTGGCAGAGGCCGGCAACGAGATTTACAGCGGCGGCATTGATAATGACATCCATGTCTGGGATATAAGAAAATGCGCCATTACATATTCCATGGTGGGTCACACGGATACGATCTCCTCGCTCCAGATCTCGCCGGATTCGCAAACGCTTCTTTCCAATTCGCATGATTCGACCGTGCGCACATGGGATATCCGGCCTTTCGCGCCGGTTGATAGACATATCAAGACCTTCGATGGCGCGCCAGTTGGGTTGGAGAAGAATCTGATCCGAGCCAGTTGGAATCCAACTGGGGAGAGGATTGCGGCTGGCAGCGGTGACAGAAGCGTTGTCGTATGGGATGTGAAGTCGGGCAAGTTGCTCTATAAACTGCCGGGTCATAAGGGCACTGTGAATGACGTGCGATTTTCACCTAGCGAGGAACCAATAAGTAAGCCCAAATAAGTCTCTTTTAACTTAACATGATATGCCTACTACTTTCTCTTCTGTCATCGAAAGGATGCGGCGGTTTACTAATGAATATTTCCTTTCTACAGTTGTTTCCGGCTCCTCTGATAGAAATCTCATGCTTGGAGAACTAGGGAAGTAAAACAGCAGGGGTGATCATCGTTACGAATCGTTTTATCCATTCCTTGATTTTCTAGCATGTTGAAATGATCTATATCAAGCGCGAATAGGGAATTTAATTTTGACCATTCTCCGTATGTCTCACAATCTCAAAATGTTGCAGCCGATGTCTCTGATGTTTGTACCAACTTCCTTTCCTTTGATTCTTATTTATGGCCTTCCGAAGCTCAATGATTTCCAAATATTTGTCCCGCCATGGTTTCTCCCCTTTCCTTTTTCACTCCTCTGTAAAATAGATTTATATCATATATCCTCATGCTAAATTATGCCTCGGTTTATCCTGACACCAAGAGAATTGATAACCACGGAGCAGGAGCTTTTTGGGTTATCAAATGAGAGAGTGGGGCTTGTCGGATCGACTGATGGATCGATCCATGGATTGAGGCAGTAGGAGTAGGAGTGGTATTGGGAGTGGTGAATTTTAGAGCCAGCTCCCCCTGGGTAGATTTTCAGTATATCAAAAGTAAACGAATGCGTTTTCGAGCCAACGTTTTCTATTTTGTCTTCTCACTTGATCTTCTTTTCTGGGGTTCTCTTGTCAACCCGCCTCTGCGCACGAACCTCCATTGTCGGATCTTCGCCAGGGGCTGGTTGGTTCATATTGGCTGCGGGTGAAACAGCTGAAACCATGATGAAGCAAGCCTGGACATGCTTCGGATATTCCTTGGCAACCACGCAACACTCTAAACCACGCGCAGCCACCACAACTCATCCTCCGCGCCTGCTGGCCAACAAGCTGGTGTCCTGTCGGAGTTTCGAAACACACCGAGACACAGCTGCCTCCTGATCTACTCCCATTCCAGGTCACCCATGGATCCCGAAATGGTTCGAGTTCTGGCCGCAGGCAGTTCCTCCAAACCTTCCCCTGCTGGTCCACTCGCCCAAGTTGCTTCCATGAAGATTATAAACATCGATGCTGCAGATGCTGCAGCTATCCCTCCCTGCATATTAAACTAGTGCTAGAGTTTGTAGCGTTGCGTTCTCCTGTTTCGCTCTGTCCGTTGTATGCCAGGTCGTTTGGATAAGGACTCATATCCTGAAGAATTGATCGAGGACGGCCAAGAGCGAGTGACCTTTTTTCACTTCGTCTTTCTCAATCACTTTCGCTTGAAACACTTCTTGCTAGCAGAGTTGTTTTTAACAGCCAGGTGAGCACAGTAAAGCCTGTGACAATTTTTGTCCCCTCCTTCACATCGGATTGATTCTCTTGCACGGCTGTTGTCCTTTGGTTTAACCCCTTCGAGATCTTGCAAGTTGGATTGACTCCTTTCTTTTTGTTGCCAGTATTTTTTTTTTATCGTTACCTTGCATTTATTTTTTGATTGCTCTGGTCAACAACGCTGTTTTTTGTCTTCATGTTTCCCTACTTTTAATACATCGTGTAGGAGTTTGAATCTGGAGCTACGCTTCCTTCCGCCTAAGTCACACCATATTTCACCAATTGCAGTCAACAATGCTTGATCGAGTGGAATATTGATAGGCGGGGTCTGTCACAGTAATATTTTGCCCGGTTGTTAACAGCCACTCGTTTCTTCTGTTTATTAATCCTCTCCTTCGTACCGCGTTGCCTCATCATCTCCAACGACTTGGTGGCAGGAGGAAGACCCTGTTAAAGATACGCGGATCCCGAATTTTGTTTACCATTCGATCTCGCCATCACGGGGAATTGAGAAACTGCTTTTGTATATTTGTGTGACGAAAAAAATGGCTGTTTTGGCAGAGAAAGTTTGATCATTTCCAGGATTTCGGATTCAGATATTTATTTACCAACAACTCCGCTCCCGGTACCATTTTTTGCCAAAAAAGGGAATATACCTCTTATGCATTTGGAAATCCGAACGCGAAAAATTGAAGATAATTGTGATGGAGCGTTTCACTTCTTTGTCAAGACAACAGGAAACTCCTGGAACCGTACGGTGCGATAATGGCTTCCGTAATCGGGCTAGATCCTTGTTTCGTGGTACATCAAGCATCGGTGCACAAAATGTGGGATCAGCCGCTCCTAATGCACGAGCACCTCGAATGTGGCTGTCTCTTTTCTCTGATGAAAGAATCGGAAGGCCTCGACGACGACAGAGTGACCACACGGTCGGATATAGGAGAACACAGCCATTGGACGCTTTGAGCATCGAAATGGCTGAGGCTGGATTATCAGGACGACACTTCCAAACTCAAGGGCATGTGAATGATTCACATCACAATCTCTCACAGACCATTGCGGGAGCTACACCCGAGCATTTTGGAGCGCGGGCAAGACGAAAATACGACAATCGATTAAAACAGGGCCGTTTCTGCGGTGGGCCTAGGATGAGATCTAAGGAAGCGAGGAAGAAGCTTGTTGATTGCGCCTTGGCTTCATCTCTTATTCTAATCCTCTTTATCATATGTGAGTCCTCTAGCTCCTTTTTCCGATTTAGACTCTCCGACACCCAAGAATGCGCAGTTTTCATATACATATTACTAAATCTGCTGCTAGATCTTTCGTTGTCCCTTTCTAACATTGTTCAAACTCGTGAATTCCACATTGTGCTGATACTAGCCTTGACGGTATTTGTGATATATTTTTGCCATTCCTTTATTCTTTTTTTCATGCTCTCATGGCGAACAAGCCCGGCACCTCTTCCTCCCGCTGCACCAAAAGCGGTCAGCACCCTGGAATACGCCCTGCCGGACGAGCCAATACCGGTAATTCTGGCTCGAGATGAAGAGATCATGATGGAAGTAGACTCGAATAATCGCAATGGCGGCAGCAAGCACTTGGGTGGACTTGCTCCACCGCCACCCGCCTATGGCTTTTGGAGGGATAGTGTGGTGCGTATATATCATACACAACACTTCAAAAATTTTCTGACCATTGCCTTGACCGATTCTACATTGTGTTTTTTTGAAGACACATGAACTACGACAGTACTGTGGCTAATGAACCAATCCCCTGCAGAAAATAAACCCAAATCTCGTCCACTGGCAGCGACGCGACCCAACCAATTCGCACGGAAGAGGCACAGGAAATGATAACGTCCACGAAGCACTGAATCGCCCCCCGAGCTATGATGGAGACCTTCATCGCGTCATCGATGAGCAGCCACAGTTGCGTCTCCACGTACCTGACGGTTTGGATATTCAGCCTGGAGAGCTTCTGGAACAGAAGCGGTGAATTATGTATAGTATTATCACCCTTGTAGGAAAATAAAAGGATATTTTTCATATTTTTCATTTCTCATTTTCTACTTAGGCTTGATTTTTGACGAAGGATGTCTTGTTCCTAAGTTCTTCATCTCCGTTTTTGTAGGGAAGGCGGCCGGTGTTGTTGAGTGAAACCATGGAGGATCCGATAATTAAATGCTTTTTGGTAGCCCCTTGATTTTCCACATTTGAGGTGTTTGATATACTTGATTCATCAAGGTTGGCTTCCACTAGCCATCTTCGATCTAGCGCAACTGAATGTGCAGAATGCCCAGTATGCAAACATCAAAAGAAACTCCCCCAGCAAACACATATTTAATCGCATATGCGTGAAAATAGAGTGGAGTAAAATATATCTATCTACACATATATAGCCATATGAGGAGAGAAGAAAGCAGAAAATGCCATGATCGTTCAATTATCATCCCCATGGCCTCAGCCCCAAAGTTAGCATGTTATAAACTGTTCTGGGCACACTTCGACGTGGTTTGAACAATCTCTGATCAAAAACCAACTCAGCTAAATTGTACCATGAAACATTATTAATACATATAGTTAGTTATATCCAAACAGTTAACCACAGTGTAGATAGTTAGTTGCTCACAATGCGAGGACTTAAATGACATTTCTCAGCCAGCCCTAATCCTAATCCAATCTTAACTTCTAACCCCAGTCCTAACCTGGGCGAGTCAAGCATGAAGCGTGTGGTGTGGGTGTGTTTTAGATGGGATGGTAGAAGTTGAACATGGTTGGTTAATTTTTTTGAAACCGCGCTCAACCATAACCCGACTAACTCAAGTTAGTTAGCTCATTCTTTATGGAGGCTGACATAATAACTAACGTAATCCACAAGCGAGTCGTCCACTTTTCATCATCTCACAGTGCTATTAAACATAACAATTAAAATATCAACAATGCAAAGTCATCAAGCTTCCTTTCAAGAAGGAAGACTTCTTTTAGCTATTCAAGCACTTGATAATAATCAAATTTCAAGTGTACGAGCTGCAGCAAAGCTCTATGGTGTTCCACGCTCTACTCTAGCTGATCGCATACATGGTCGTACAACACGCGTTGATACTCCACCAAAGAACCGAAAACTCAGTCTTACAGAGGAAGAATCTCTTATTCAATGGATTCTATCCATGGCTGCACGAGGGAAACCACCCCAGATCGCGACTGTACGAAATATGGCCAATTTACTCCTTTTTGAACGAGAAATCAAATCTGAATCCAAGCCTCCATCAACAGTTGGTGTCAACTGGGTACAAAACTTTGTCAATCGTCATAATGAGTTAAAATCCAGATTCTCCCGAAAGTATGATCACCAGTGAGCTCTGTGTGAGGATCCTGAGATAATTCGTGGATGGTTCAACCTCGTACGAAACACCATTGCAAAGTATGGGATTGCACACGAAGATATATACAACTTTGATGAGACTGGGTTTCAAATGGGTGTTATTGGAACAGCCAGAGTGGTTACTGGATCAGAGAGAGTTGATAATCCCAAGCTTATACAGCCTGGAGATCGAGAATGGGCTACTGTTATTGCAGGAGTCAATGCAACTGGTTGAGCTTTATGTACGATGATTATTCTGAAGGGAAAGATGCATCAATCCTGTTGGTATGAGACTGGAAAGCTGCCACATGACTGGATGATTGGAGTCAGTGAGAATGGATGGACAAATGATAAGCTGGGGTTAATCTGGCTTAAGGAGATATTTGACAAGGACACTCGATCTCATACAAAGGGCAAATATCGACTCTTGATTCTTGATGGACATGGAAGTCATGCTTCAGCTGAATTTGATCAATTCTGCTCTGAGAACAATATTATTGCTCTCTATATGCCACCTCATTCATCTCATCTTCTTCAGCCCTTGGATGTTAGCTGTTTCTCTCCTCTAAAGAAGGCGTACGGACAACAGATGGAAGAGCAAATGCGGCTTGGCATTAATCACATTGATAAGAAAGAGTTTTTGACTCTATATTCAGCAGCTCATATGAAAGCTCTGAATGAGAACAACATCAAAAGTGGTTTCAAAGCTACAGGGTTAGTTCCGTACGATCCAGAGCAAGTCCTCTCACGCCTTAATACTAGGATGCATACACCCAGCCCTCCAGGAACTTCTCATAGTTCTCAAGCCTCCTGGGCCACAGCCACACCACACAATGTACGACAAGTGGATCTTCAGGCCAAGAAGATTAAAGAATACATGCAACATCATACACAGGGTTTATCCAGTCCAACCAATCGAGCTATGAATCAGCTGATTAAGGGATGTCAAATGGCTATGCATAGTGCTGCTATTTTAGCAAAGGAAAACAAGGAACTAAGAGCTGCAAATGAGAAGCAAAAGAGAAAGCGAGAGAAAGGTCGTACATATGTAGCTCAGGAAGGTGTTTTAAGAGTTAAAGAAGGAATAGATCGCGTACGAAGTGTCAATGAAGAGGAAAGAGAGAGGATAGAGATTTCTGACTCTCAACCACGAAAACGTGCAGCACCTCGATGTAGTAGATGTGGTACTATTGGACATACTGCTCGTACATGTGAAAGCAGATTTGTAAATAATTCTTAATATAATTAATCTATTTTTCTTACATGTTTGTTGTTATATTTGATTATAAAGATACAAAATGATAAAAAGTGGCCGACTCGCTTGTGTGGCCGACTCGCTTGTGGATTACGTTATCCTCCCCGCTGGAAAGAAAATGTGTTCAGTTGACAAGATCCATGGGCAACATCGACTCTTTGGCTTCTACCTGCCCATCTACTCCGTAACCAGTATGCATATGGGACGGAATTTGGGGCCATATCCCTCCCCTCCCTACTTTTTTATCACCGGGAACATATAAACCCCTCTATCCCTAGTCTCAAGCAACTCTCGCGGGAGCCGGACGAGAACAGAAAAGTACCAAAAGGCTGTTTTTCTCCCAGCTCAGCGACGCTGACAGATTCGGAGACTCTTAATGATATTCTTAGGCTCACGGACTTCACTTGATTGTCGGTGATGCACTCGAGATGCCGGCGTCGTTGTTTCCCGATGTCTCGCTTCCGCAACGGTGCAAAATGGACTGTCTGCGGTTGGGCCGTCGTTTTTGTTACGGTTGTCTCCTTTTGGGTTCCTCTAGCTAGGGCAATGAGCGGGGCCCAGATTTGGGAGTTGAGGTATGTGAATTGTTAAATTTACATTATTGACTGATTTTAGGGAGATCGAAAGCCTGGGGGGTGACTCGGGCGGATTACTCCGGGCGACAATTTTTTGAGAAACGGAGAGCTAATTTTCCATGCAACTTGCTTCTATCCTCTGTACAGAAAGGAGACAGAGCATATGTTCTACCACGGTTTCGAAAATTATATGAAGCATGCATTCCCTGAGGATGAATTGCGACCCGTTTCTTGTCGCCCCTTAACACGCGATCGTGAAAACCCCGCTCATGTACATATTAATGATGTTCTGGGAAATTACTCCTTAACGCTCGTCGATAGTTTGTCTACCTTAGCGATACTCTCTTCCTCCCTATCTCGATCGGCCGCCTCGAATTCAGACTCGGAAAGCTCGCGTAAGGCGTGGAGGTATTTCCAGGACGGTGTGCGAGATTTGGTAGAGCTATATGGCGATGGGTCGGATGGACCAGCTGGTACAGGATCGAGGGGGAAAGGATTCGATTTTGATAGCAAGGTCCAAGTGTTTGAAACAGTGATTAGAGGATTAGGTGAGGAGAAATGCTTTGAATACCATTTATGTACAGCATCTCTAACCGTTGAGTGTGTTCTTGTAAATAGGCGGCCTTCTCAGTGCGCATCTTTTCGCAATAGGCGAATTGCCTATCCGTGGATATGATCCCCCAGAAGACGAAGCTTCCTTTGCGAAATTATGGAATAAAAGTGGACACACTAAAGGCAGCCCCGGGATTAGATGGGAAAATGGCTTCGTCTACAACGGACAACTGCTCCGTCTCGCGATGGATCTTGGTGCCCGGATTTTACCTGCTTTCTATACTGCAACGGGAATCCCATATCCACGTGTTAATCTGCGGCATGGCGTCCCCTTTTACCCCAATTCCCCTTTCAATGCAGATATAGCACCAGAAACGGCGGCTTGCACTGGTAAAGGCCAAGCGAAAGAAGAGGAGAAGTCTTCTGAAACACCAGAGGTTACAGAAACATGCAGCGCGGGCGCTGGAAGTTTGGTTCTGGAATTTACGGTTCTTAGCAGGCTTACCGGCGATGGGCGTTTTGAAGAATTTGCCAAAAGGGCGTTTTGGGCTGTTTGGTCCCGCCGAAGTGACATTGGCCTGATCGGAGCTGGCATTGATCCCGAGTCTGGGAAGTGGGTGAACTCGTACACAGGTGTAAGTGGGAATGCTTTTGTGATTATCTTGTGTGATTTATCACTTACCAGGTAATTTTTATGACAGATCGGTGCTGGGATTGATAGTTTCTTCGAATATGCATTTAAATCTCATATCTTGTTATCCGAGGGTGACCGCCCGTCTTTCAACCAGTCGAGCCCGTTTCATTGGCTTGATGATTTTTACTCCCCCCTTAGTGAAGAGCTGCATTCCTCAGATGCATTCCTTAATGTTTGGCAGGAATCTCTAGCATCCATAAACCACCATTTATATCGCGGTTCCGGCTACCAATATCCTCATTATATCCAAGGCGACATCATCACCGGAGCTACACGCGCCCTTTGGATAGATAGTTTAAGTGCATATTTCCCAGGCCTTTTAACTTTGGCTGGAGATCTGGCTGGGGCCATCGAGGCTCATCTGCTACACACCGCCATTTGGACTCGATTTTCTGCTTTCCCGGAACGGTGGAATGTCGGCACAGGGAACATTGAAAATGGCCTTGGGTGGTGGGGAGGCCGCCCCGAGTTTGTCGAGTCCACTTATTACCTGTATATGGCCACTAAAGACCCGTGGTATCACTATGTTGGAGAGATGGTATTGAGGGATATCAAGCGGAGATGCTGGACTAGGTGTGGCTGGGCTGGTCTTCAGGATGTTCGAGATGGGCAATTGAGTGACAGGATGGAAAGCTTCTTCCTCGGGGAAACGACGAAGTATCTCTTTCTGCTTTTTAGCCCTTCGCACCCCCTAAATGATCTTGATGCTCCGTTTGTTTTCAATACCGAAGGCCACCCCCTTATTATCCCGAAGTCGACTAGGAACGCCACTAAGGAAAAGGCAAAGCGAGCAGACACGTTTCCTGGTGGTACACAACTTGTCGTTGGAGCAACCTGTGCAGTGCCGGCTCCAACCCCGCCCTTCGGAGCCTCGTCGACCGCTGCGCGGCCCGATATTTTCCACGCAGCAAGCCTCGCTAGATTGCACTTGATGCCACCTCGTCAACAGGCTGAATCTCCTATCATCGGTTATACTGTTGATCATCCGAGTATCTCCATGTCCGACTTAACATCACCATCAAACTATACATATTTCCCTTGGACGCTACCACCAGAGGTTATTCCACCAAAAGCTACCAGTGCACTAATGACGGTTAGACCAACCGTTGACCTTACATTTCCGCCAGCTGCCAACATCATCCTTGGCCCTGGATCATTGGAAAGAGTTCAAGATGGACTTCTCGTGAAGTCCCTTGGAGGCCTTCGCTTGGGTATGATCCAGGATGTTCCACTATTGACGGATCAATCATCAGGGTTCGCTGAAGGATATCGCGTCCAAGTTATCAACAACATTCCACTAGGAAAGGACGAAAAGATTTATATCTCGAAGGAAATAACGGACGTTCTGAACTCTGAAGACCCAAACTTCACGCGGGTGCAGGATTCAGCGTTGTTGGATGTTGTCTTGGACCTCAGATCGGAGGTAGCCAATGGAAACGTATCGTCAATACTAACAACCTCCACAAATGGCGAAACCATTATAGGTGCACTCGATGAGCTCCACGCATCGCTCGACACGTCAACATTCGACGCATCAAACATGAAACTAGCTTTTGCATCCTTCTTTAACCAGGTCACCTCCCTTCTCCGAGATGACTCTGACTCACCCACACTGGACTCCCTTTCATCCCTGAAATCAGCCATCCGCGTTTCAGTCCCCGCGACTATTTCTACCGGCAAGGGCTCGACATCACTTCCTGATGTTGAAGATGCCGTACTTCCTCCGCCCACCGAAGCGAAGTCCAGACAAGCCAAAAAGCTGCTTAACCGCCTTCCATGGTCTACCATTTACCTTTCAGATGAGCTCTGTGACCATCGGCTTCCTGACGTAGTCCCCAAGACACACCATGTAATCGTCATAAAACGGGGCGGGTGCAGCTTTTCGACGAAAATCCAAAATATACCCTCTTTCCGCCCTACGAGCGATTCCCTCAAGCTTGTGATCGTAGTTTCGTACCCCCAGCTGGGCGATCCCCGACAGGCCTCTTCTTCAACCTCCGGCTCAGGTACACACTCCGATACCACGTCCCGAAACCCAACGGTAGATTCAGAGGAGTCATACCTCATTCGCCCTTTGCTCGACGAAATACAAACCGTTGCTGGCGGAATTCCCCGTCTGAATCCGATAAGCTTGATACTTGTTGCCGGCGGTGATGAAACATACAACTACTTCAAGCATGCTTTGGGTGTGGGTTTTCGAAGGAGATATCAGTTTATTTCGCAGGGTGTGCCGATTAGTAACCTAGTTGTGGTATAAATTTCCGTCTATATATGTCAGTGTCAATTTTTTTTTCGCATGTAATTTATTTTAACTAATTATCCGCTTTATGAATATTCTTATGATAATGTATATGGAATTCAGGATATTCTTGGACAATTCTGTTTAGTTCGTTTCCTGTGGATAAATGTACTACACTCTGGCGGCGGGAAGGATTTCGTTTATTTTCTAGATATCCATTGTGTGTGAATTTCTGTGCGGTTTTACTGGAATCTTCGTGGATGAATGACTTGAAACGTGATACGTCAGTAACAACATCTTCTCTTGTTGGATCTTTAGCAGTGAGTATTTCGAATCCTGGGTGCTTGAATATATTTCTTGTGAGTTTGCATTTGACCTCATTCTGGCTGAAAAGATGTTCAGTCCGAGAAGTTGATGAATTATGCACCTCTCTCTCCTCGACGCCCTTGAACTCCACTCTGTCTCGCTGCTTCAACCCTTCAAGCTAAGTGGAGCAAAGGATGCTATGATATGATCTGGGTAGACCAGAATCACGGTTCCTTCCCATTTTTATTTCAAATGGGATATTTGAGAAAGGAGGATGTATTGTTACAACGCCTCGGCCAGGTGGTCCACTCCTGAAAACAACCGAGCACGTGGGATGAATGAAGCCTGTTGAAAATGTTGAATTTGCGTTCTCTTGATGGCATTCCTGCACGAAAATGAAAACGAAATAGAAAATAAAAAGAGAAATGTGGGGTTGGTGTAATTCACCCTTACGATCTCCTTTGACCGATGGACGGATTTCGGTATGCTGAGTGCGCGATGGGGGTTATTTTAAGCATGAATTCCTGCTTCAATAACGGTGTGTCTCCTTCAATCTAGTGGGCCTTGCTATTACCTTCTTTATAGTATAGGGTCGGTCAGGATACGGCTCGGTACTTCAATGACGCTAGATACTAGTCTCGCTTCTTGACATTAGAACTCTCATCTCAAATGCCTCAACCCTCGTGCCTACTGCCTGCCCACAAGTTTATATCCCCTCTCGATTTTAGGGCAACATGGGAGACGCGAAATTACGAAAACCCGGAAACTCATGGCCCAAGATTGATTATCATTGCTCTGCTTATTCCACATAATTAGAACAATTATGGGACATTCCGATGTTATACTTTCAACCTTCAGATCGATGATACTGGGATTTCTATAGCCATGGTAAGCATAGCCAGAAGCTAACCTACTTAAGAGGCTAACGAGACAGATGGATTTCTAGTACTGGTCTTGCTGCATCATATATTAACTTTGGCTAGGCTGCTATCATTGTGGTCACTACACCGACGACAAAGCCGTTGTTGCTTCATTTTACTGAAGACTTCCTTTCGCCAACTTCCCATAAATATTACAAATTAGGTATCCTCGCCATGGAAATATCTTTGGCATACGCATTTGGCGCATGCCGTTTCTGTGCAAGTATGGGGCCTTGATTATTTTTATATTGACAGACCCCATACCAATGGCTGCTGCTTGGCACTTTTCCTCTTCTTTTGTATAGACTGGCGTATGGTTATCAATGCATTGGCCATCTCGCCTTTACATTTGTACCTTTTATTGAGAATGTACTCCTCGACATTCCCACAATGTTAGTCCCGCAGTTCCAGCTTCCTATACACCAGCTGCATGCCGTGATTGCTACACTAGTACTTTTGGGGGTTATAGTTGTTGTGACTAGTGCTGTAAATATCAAATATGATGTTCGCGCGAGTAGAGACAATTAATATGAGCAGTTTGACCAGTCATTGCATTTATTGAGGAATAGAAGCCATAGTTGTTTTTGCCTTGTAATCATTTTGTGCTTCTGTCAAAGTTGGAATGGGGGATTTTTTCCTATCCTCTAATAAAAATTTCCAGTTATTCATCTTGAGCTAAAACTTTGATTATAAGATAATTCCGTAGAATTCTGATATCCGCATCGCCTCGTCGTTTGGCTATAAACATTCGAATACCTCGGATTTGTATTTAGGTGATCCAAATGCCCTCCCCTTTTCATTTATCTCACCACCTTAGCTTTTTCGCCGCCGCACGCAAACCCCCATGCTTTAAAGGAAACTTTTTGTATCACCATCTAGTATGAAGTTATCTTTCGCATATTGTACTTCCCTATTTCGCGGAGCTTCTTTACCAAATATATAAATCTAGATGCGACGAGTTAGTTTCGTATCCAAAACTATCGACTCAACTAGGGCCATCAGACCAATGGGAGGAACGGAAGACCTAGACCCAGCGACAAGAATGCGAGAAGTCCTGTAACCCCAGTCAACTCCCAGTGCTCGAAGAGTCTGAGCGAAAAGTGGAAATACTGCAAAAGATTGGTTTCTAGCTTAGTTCATTGAGTGTATATGTTTTTGATGGGGTATAATAAGACTGTTGGGAAAATGCCTACCTCCTGCGAAAACAAAGCGGAGGAAGGACACTGCCAGAGCTTAGTATGTAGTATTTTGTAACTAGGGGATTCTCAACTTACATGAGGCGACAGCTGAAGCGGGAAACGCAAAACAGTCCACAATATAGAGCTGAATTGCCAGCTGTATATCGAGCATCAGTCATATTGCTCCCATGTGTTGCAAGACTTAGAATATTTGCCTTACAAATATGTTCATTGCTCCAGCAGCGAAGATTACGAAACCAACTAAAGGCTTAAGGTCTGTTAGGCTTGGGAGAAGAAGAATGAAGCTGAATGGTGACATGAAAAAGAGGCACAATGACGGGAAAATAAAAGGTATTGCAAGTTACCACGATGAAGTGATATTTGAGTGCAGAAAAGCCATATAGGAACAGACCAGCGACGATTAAAAGGGCACCAGGGAATGCAGGAACCAATCTAATATGCCGTACGTGTTAGTTGCACTAAACTTTAAGCATAAATAATCCTAGAGAATTCAGTATGTTTTCACCTAGACTCCGGGTTGTAACGCCTATCGGGGCGCGTTTGGCGTTCGTATATAATCCCATGCACTTTAACCGTTGCAATCAGACCTAGGATGTTACCCACCCCCTGGGCCAGGAGGTCGATGCCGACAAATCCAGCCGAATGGCCGTATCCGTCCCCGAAAATATCTGGGAACTATTAATTATTGTAAGTGGTAAATTTTGTGCACTCCAGGAGGGTTATAAGGACGTGATCATTTCGTACTGTTACTATAAGGAGGTAAACTTCCCCGAATACGAACGCGAAATAGAGCGACAGCAGAAATAGAACCGGGTCGACAAGCAAGTATATCACTAGCAGGGTTAGCAAAAAAAGTCGTTAGATTTTGTGTCAAAAAGATACATACCAGGGCGAATGGCAGAGGAGATAAACGATCCCGCCCTCCGAGTGGATAAATCTGAGAGCAATTCGACTACCGTGTATAGGTCCATATCTGGATGTAATCGCTTATTTCTCTGAAGTTTCTGTTCAAGAAGTATTGGAATATACGACTCTTTCATGTGAATAAGAGAAATGATTTCCAATGCTGCAGCAGCCATGGCCTGATATGGTGAGATTTGGTGTGAATTTGAAAACACAGGAGAAAGAAGGAAGAATGGCATACAGGGACCCAACAAGTCCATCTCCAAGAGGCTCGTTCAGATATCCAGCCACCACAGGCAGGGCCAACCACAGGCCCTAAAATTCTGGGGAAAATTAGGACGAATACCAGTATTTGTGTTTAACAGAAATACGTGAACGTACAGTAAAGTTGACATCAAAGCTGATGCTTTTGCTCGTTCCTTGAGATCCCAAATATCAGCAAGGACACCTCCAAAAACGGCCAACCCGCCAGAACCTCCAACTCCTGCAAAGAACCGGCACACGGCAAGTTGAGCTGCCTGCAATCCAGTTAGTCAACTCAGCTAGAACATACTCCCCGAGAAAGGACTTACATTCTGGGCGAAACCGCTTCCTATTGAGAAGGCAATAAACAAAATATTGCACGTACGCACGATAATAGATCTTCCATATATCTCGCTAAGCGGTGCTGCGAATATAGGGCCAAGTGCAAATGCCAAAACAAATATTGAGATTTGGATAGCGCCCAAGGTGGGATTTTTAATACCAAGATCGGCCATGACCAAGAGGAGAGCTGGAGCGAATATAGTACCTAGCAGTATACCATAAGCTTCTTTCCGTAGAAACACGGTTAATCTTACTTGCAAATGGAGGCAAAAAGCAATAGCCTCCCATAAGGGTTGTAGTCGTCCACTTCATCTTCCTGGTCCAACTCTATGCACTGTCAAAGAATGCCAGGTAATCATTATATTCTTAGAAACAGAGTAATACCCGCGGGTTTTCTTTCGATTCTGCGCTTAGAGTGATAAGATCTTTGGGGAGCAAGGTTAGTCCGATGGCTAAATAATGGGTGTGATGGCTAATAAAGAATTTACATACTAGGATCCAATCCGCTTAAATTCACACCATCATAGAATACTTTATCGGGGCTTGCTTCCCGTAACTTCAATTCTTCCTGGTACCGTTCTGTAACCAGCATCCTTCGGGAAATGCTGGGACAACTCCCGATATGTGAAGTTGAACTGAGAACCTGGGGGGAATCAGGAGAATCCCGCTTTTCCGTTCTTGAATTGTTTTGCATTTTCAAGAAAAGCATAAAATAGAAAGTAAAAAGGTAGCCAAATTAGATAAATTTGGCTGAAGAAAATTTTTAAGATGTATTTATCAAATGGAGACACAATTCTGATTATCTATCAGAATTCAGAATAATGTATCATAACCCCCCACAACAACGAGAGCGAAGAATATCCATTACCCTCAACCCACGTTGCAAGACACACGGTGTGAATCTGGGACTGGTATTGGGAGGCATAGTGTCGGTAATACTCCATCGCTCACCATTCACAAAATTAGAGTGAAGACATGATCTTAAGGTGGAAGTACGCCACCGATAACTGGATCCTGTACCACTTCATAGGTCAGAATACCAGGAGTTCCCACGCTCACGCGGCAATTTGGTGATCGCAAATCAGTCTAAAACATAATTCCTAATCGCAGTAAAAATGAACCACCGCAGTTCATGGGCGATGCTCTCAGACCGTTCTCTGCACATGCACACTGGTCAGATCTGCAAACATGACCTCATTATTTGAATCATCAGGTCATACTTAGTGTGTCTCATTTTGCTATTCCGTTTTCTGCAAGCATTGCCGTGTAACTATGGTCATCAAAGTGAGAAAAGGTTTCAACTCGTACTGAAATGCCACCAGGTCATGAGGCACTTAGGGAAGTCATGTACGACCTGCGGTTTAATAGTTTTTCGTGAGAATGAGCTTCCAAAAGAGGGTCCAACCAGTGAAGAGGACACAGCAGTTATCTGAGTTGGATCTGTATTAGTACATAGAATGGTTTCATATAATCTATGAGAGACAAATCCCCATATGGTTCCATGGATGGTCGAGATTTTGTCACGTGAAATTATATCGTCTAATCCTTGCCGTTGATATAAACGCGGCGCTAAATTAGCGTTTAAAACCTTAAAACCACTAGTGATTTTCTCAGCCTACTTCGCAAGCCCTCTCTCCTTCCCAAACTTCACTTGTTACTCTGTTCTTTACCAGTTCTACAAGAAGTTTTCCTTGAACATTCACACTGTGAAAATAGAAGTATTCAACAGTGTTTTCTAGACTCAATCGACACATTAATTATTCACTATGGGGAAACTGTTTTGCTGTGTGCTCTGTTGGCTGCGGGCGGGGAAACGCTCGGGTCTCAGGGGTTTGCTATGGTGCCCAGGGCGGGGGAAACACGTTGTTTTAGGCTGTTGGGGATACGCTCCAGGGGTGGCAACAGTGAAAAAATTGTGATTTGCTATCAACAGAACGGTGATTATGGATTGCATGGTAGAATCCTTAGGGCAGCTGGCACTTCAATTACTGGAACAGACGATGGCTCCATTTATCGCAAGGTGTACGTTTTTACCTGGCATATGTGCTACGTGTTGTTTAGATGGATATCCCGATATTTTCACTTAATTCTCAGTTCCGCAAGTGTATACAACTCATTTTCAAATTGATTCATTCATTGAAATAAGCGGAGCCGCCAATCACCCACTCGAAGGTATAACAAGCAATCCAGGTTTTCAGTCGATGTCATACGACCATAGTGGAATATTATATTCCAGCCTCAAGAATTTAGCGTTACCAGCCCTTTACAGCCCTAGAACTAGACATATAAGTTCCAGAACAATATCGCTATAATCGCACTAAGTCCCAAGCTCTGAATGGATTTGTCGATTGCAAGCATAGATCCCGCCCCGGGCTTAGGTGAAGTATTGTTTAAGGCTGTTTCTGCACCAAGGGGCTTCCAGCCAATGCCTGAAGAATTGGTGCACAAGTCGGTAGACAGAAGCGTGGCGTTAGCGGAAAAGGTGATATCGGCACACTATTTAAAAGCACATATTATTAGATCCACACAAAAATAATGTCCGTTCTAGGCAGCATTGAGATGCGCATGATCGTGCGATTCAGATAGACGCAAACGGAAATAACGTGAAACGAGGAGGGAAAATGAGAAAGGAAGTTTACATTATACAATGCAGACCCATGTTCATTTACTTGGACAACTTGAATACTCGCGTTAGAACCAGAGGTCAGGCCTAGTCCTTGCGGAATTGGAATTTTTGGGAAACAAAATGTGCCATTTCCCGTTTGATTGAAACCTTCGATCATAGAAATATTGAATATAACTGTATCATCAGAACCAATACCAAGGTTCACGAAGGTGATTGACCAGGAGTGCGAAGGAGTGATGAGGAGGGAGCCACCACCAAGAGGCCATTCAGTTCGGTTTGTCGTCACATTGACACCCCCGCCTAACATTATATTAGAAATATGTGCAATAAAATGCAAGTCGGAAGGGAGCAAGATGGTATGGCACTCCTGGAGTAAGCATAGAAACGTACATGGTTTAGTCCACTGAGATGTAAAGAATTGCCACGCCAGAAAGGGTATTTAATAGAGAAATGCGCAGAAACGAGCTGAAGTAGGAGGGCAAGGCTAACAATGAAGCGAGTCATATTAACTTATCCAGCGACGATTGTCGTAATATGTTGTTTTGGCTGCCCACTTCTCCAATCGGTAGCGAAATAACAATTGATGGAGGAACAAAAAAAAAAAAAAAAAAAATCTTGCTGACCCGGGGGCATCGAGGCATTAGGAGGCAGAGACTGGTATTTGCAAGATAGTAACTAGTACCTGAAGGAAAAGGGGCGAGTTCCTTCGGAATTGAAACTGAAATACGCAGCTAACACCGGCCACAAATACTTCAAGATCCATCATTGGTCCAATTTATAGGGATCAGGGTGAGATGGACGCCATTGGCATGGGCAAGTCCCGCTTGAATGAGGACAATTGAGCATATTTCTTTGGGTCCTGATTAGCGTTGGCCAAATGGTGAGGAGTCCAGCAGCACAAAACTTATGCTTGCAGGGGTCTTCGTGGAAACCACGGGAAACAATGACTTTGAGCGGTTTTTGGAACTCACTTGCACAAGGAGTTTTCAGGAACGGTAGCTAGCTGCCTTTTACACGAGGATATTGACCTCCTCCAAGGTTCGTATCCTGGGTTGGATATCCTGATCTGAGATATAGTCAAGATCTTATCAAGACCACTCTGCTGACCGCTCCGAATATACCCGCAATCACATGATCTCCACCCCGCTCCACAAGGTTGCCCGCATTCAATTCCGCGATGACGAACCAACTCCGCAACGTCTCTTGAGGTCATGTTGAGCCAACATCTAAGAAGTCAGATTACCCGCAGTCTTCCTCGCTTCTCTCCCCATCTCTGTCGTCAATTCCCTTCTGCACTATCAATTGCCCCGCGCGTCTCTAGAAAAATGTCTGATATTGTCCACGTCTTTGCAAACGATGCTTGCCCGCGTAAGTTCGGATTCGTCCGACCCCAATTTTACCCCGCGCATCGTTTTTCCAATTCCTCCCACCCCTTGAAAGGATATTTCATTCAATGCCTCTGTTTGACTTCAAATATCTCAATTAACTGCTTATCTAGCTGCGGGCCCCTATGTACGTCCACGTGACTCAACGGTTCTACTTTTGACTGGGAAATTGAGGTTAATTTGCAATTTGCTGTTTTAAAAAACCAGTCTCACGCTATCAAAGCGAACGGACAAGTGTTTCTCTCAGGTGCGATTCCAGCAGATGAGAACGGGAAGCTCCTCGAAGGCTCGGTTGGAGAAAAAACTGCTCTCTGCTGCAAGAATATTGCTGCCGTGCTGGCCGCGGCTGGAACGACCGTGAGTCGGGTGGTAAAAGTTAACGTAAGTTGCTAAACGAAGTACAATTTCCTAAGGAAACTCCATATTACCCGTTTAACAACTGTGGATGAATTGTTCCCTGCCTCGCCACTTAAAGTTGACTACACTCTTGGTAACAAAAATCCGCATGCATGACTAACTGAACATTTCCATTCGCGTCCGGGAAAATACATTTTCAGGTCTTCCTTACAGATATGAAAGATTTCGCCGAGATGAACGCCGAATATGAGAAGTTCTTCACGCATAAACCTGCTCGCAGCTGCGTTGCTGTCCATCAACTTCCAAAGGGCGTCCCGGTCGAGATCGAGTGTATTGCTCTACAATAAACCACAGGAATTTTCAAGTACCGCATATAGTATACATTGTATACCTCCCATCTTCATTATGCTAGTGAAGTTGCGCATGATATCTAATTTCCTATCATGGCTTCGTCGAGTATGAAAATTAATAGATAAAAACTCAAAATTAAAAACCAATGTGGGAAGTGAAATAACGATCTATCTCTTTTGACGCGGTGCAATTTTGTTTTAATGACTGCTGTTAGAGTATGATTGACAATTTTTCAAAGATTAAAAAAGAAATAAAATAGAAACGAAGAGAAGAGCCCCTGTTGTAACGAAATACGACTTGACTTCCCTTCCAATAGCCTGGCTAAATACTAATTGAAGCGAGCTACTCCCGCTATTTAGAAATAGGTAGTTAAATTTTCTATTAATAACTGATTGACGAACCAAATCAAGAAGTAATGGAATGATTTCCGCCTTATATTTTATGCACACGTGCGATCACTAGAAAAGGTTAAGAAAAAGTGATCGGAAGCTACCCGCTCCATGCGGTTGTTTGCGCGCCTCGTATCCATGTACACATCGCCGCGTGACGTTACTAACATTAACAACGAAAGGATGCACTTTAGTCTTCCAAAGGGAAATCGAAAGGAGGCTCGGAATAACCATGAAACCTAGCAAGGGGATGGGTGGCCTGGGAGGGAACATAAGGTAGGTATCGTGCATGGATGAAAACAATAACAGCAAGGCTAACACAAGGTGAAAACAGAGGTGGCAGGCTTGGGAAAAGAGGCGATAGTATGTGAAATGTCTAGGGTCTCGAAATGAAGAATCGAACGAGGATTTGAACTTTACTAAAAGTCTGCAAAGGAAAATAAATTCAGAATAGCAATCCGGCCTGTCCAACCCCTCCCTTCTAAAATAGCGCAGCCGTTAAGAAAAAGCATATTCATTCGTAAACACAAATCATATCTTTTATCCAAAAGATAACGCTTTGATAGTACTGGTTACCTTCGCGGTAAAGTACCTACCATTCTTCCTCCACCGCCAGCCATTAAACTTTGTTTAACGATTAAATCTGCAGCTGCAGCCGTCGCAAGCCTCTCCTTCTGTCGACTGCGATCACGAATATACGTATGCGCCTCCGGTCGCATGCGCAGAATTCGAAGAACCATATCATCGTTCGGTTCCGCTTGTGCTTCTCGCCATTTTTCCTCCTTGGCTTTCCTCATAGTGCCCAAGTTACGGGACAGCATGATGCTTTTCCCTCGGCGAGCAGACGGAATACCAGCCGCACCACCAATCGCCGAAAATGGGCTCAATGATGAGGACGTAGTGGACAGCCGGTTTCGGTTAGTTTGCTGTCGTGCTGCAGTGGAGGATGCCATGCGTTCTGAGGTTCGAATTAAACTATCGGTGGGTTCAAAGTAGAAGAAGAAGAGACTTTGGATTTCGTGGTATTTCGGTGATTTAAGGATATCTAATGGAACGCCGTTTGCTTCTCCGGTTTCTTCATCGACGGCGTTGAAAAAGTTGAGGAGCAGGAGGAGCCAACGAGAGACGACGTCAACTTCTCGCTGGGTGAGCGGCCGTTGGTTAGACGGCTTGTCGGATAGCGGAGGAACCAAAAGAGCTTCCACGGTTACTAGAACTTCTTTCCACAAGCGAGCCATGACCGTTCTCATGGCTTCTTCTGTCAACGTTTGGTTCATAATTGAAAAGTTGTCATCAAAATAAGTGAACAATGTGTCTAATGCACCCTCTATTTCTGCCGGCGTCGGACCTGAAGTGGTTGATGTTTTGTTCCTATTAAAATAGCTGGAAACAGTTGACATAGTAATGCCTTTCGACAGCAAAGCTTTGAGAGCACGGCGAGAAAGACAATGGTTTATATAAGCAGAAAGCTGGATATACATGTTAGCAGATGATATCTAACCCGGATGCAGATAATGAGTTTGACATATAGCAAACATACCTTCTCTGTTGTTTTCCGGGTCATCTCACGTTCGGTACGCTTGAGAGTCCGAAATGCCTTACCAAAGTGAAATTGGATATCATCACGTTCACCTTCCATACTCACACGAAGCAAAATTCGGCCTTGCGTGTCCAAGTCTAGCCAATATTCCCTTGGGACAAAGTCTGAAAAGTGGGCGGGATCAAGCTTGAGAGAAGTGCGCCCCATATAATCGTGGCTCCCAACAGCGTCCCAGTCCCAGACAGTTGCAATAATGTTCTGGGGTCCTTTCGTAATGATATCCACGCTATCATCCCATCGGGGATTAAGATTGTCATAGATAATGCGAGTCTTGAAAATACGCTGGGACTCATCGGCCAAGGAAACGTAAGGGTCACTAAGTCCATCCATGTCACATCCCTTCAGGTCTTCTGCCTCAACAATTTTAACAGTAAAAACATAGTTAGTAACCTTCCGTGGCCGCTGTAAAGCAGGAGGCGTATTCTTTGCAAGTACATCTGCGCAAGCATCGACATTGACGTCTTTCTCAAGCTTATCCAACTGATGGAGAGCATATTCAATATTATTCAGTTTGACAAAGGACTGGAAAGAAAAGATCAGTAATTGACAAAAGAAATTAGCATTTTTCCATTGGCAAGGCTTACCTGCGGGAAAAAGTGAAATGGCTCAATCTTTTCTTTATTATTCCACGCCTCCTTGGCCATTTGCATCCATTTCTCTTGTCGTGATTGCGATAGAGATGCTTCTTGTTCTGGGGTAAGGCGATCCATTTCTCTACTAAATTGTAGTTCAAGAACTTCGCAATATCTCGCAATACCTTTCCCGATAGATTTTGAAATAGCAGTCATAAACTTAGCATATCCCACATCGTCGTCCCAATTCAGTTGCACAATTTGATTAATCACTTCGTTAAACGACCGGAAAACGTCTACGACGGACAAGCTATGCCGTTGATCTTGCGTCGGTATGTCAGTAGGTGATTCGGTCCGCACTTTGAAGTCATCTTGTTTGATAGCCTCATTGACCCAGCCTACGATCTTCTCATCAGTAGCTTGTATCCAACGCCAAACGAAATTGGACAGTAGTTCCTCGATCGGTATGGGAAACGGTTCACTGAAAAATTCTCAGCAAAAGAACACAGAAACTTTGTGTATAGGTTTAGCTCTTACCCAGGGAGAACTTCTGTGTAAAATTGGCGTATTTGAGCCAATTCTTTGTACAAGTCAAAGCCATCTTGCATGCCAATCTCTTCGTTTTTATCTTGAGCTTGTTGTATAATCCTCGTAATGATGTCGCGTGCATCCTCCGCGAACATTGGAAGAACGCATTTGGCTAGAATGTTTGAAGGATTGATACTACGCAAGTCAGTTAGAGGTCAGGAGAATACGAATTTTTAGGTACATACCCTATGATTTCCGGGTTTTTCTTATATCTCTTTTGTATCCGCTGCGCAAGTTTTAAAATACCTTTCCCGAGTTGCACCACATGATAAAACTCCCACACATTTTGCTCTGGAGGTATTTCCTTGTCGAGGTGTTCTTGGTAAACCTCTTTTGCTTTGTTCACTAATCCGTTATACACATAGGAACGAAAATTTTCATAGTCGTCCGGTTTGGAAACAAAGTTAGGGTCAGCTTCGACGTAGTTTTCTAGGATGTACATGACTGAACCTATAGAGGGGACCTTGGTGTCATAGCAGTGCATCATCGTCTCATAGAGATGCCGAAGGAGCGCCTCGTGGAGAGAGGAAAGTAGGTGTGTCATTACACTAAAATCAGCGAGCGTCCAATTCTCCCTGTTTGAGAGCAATGAGACTATGAAGTTACTACCACGTTTCGACTTCTCCGGCGGAGGTTGGTTAACAAAAATGAATGCGGAATCCAAAGTGTCAAGATCAATTTCCTGTTCCACATATTTCTCTCGGAAAACATCAAGGAACAATACAGCACGCGTAGATGTTGGTATTCGCCAACGAAGGCTTATTTCGTTGAGCAGATCAGTAGCTTGCTTCGAGAGAAGAGTCTTAGGTGGCGAGTCCGAGGTCGAGTCTGATTCATTGGTTGATCTTTCTTGCAGCTCGTGGTTTACGACTTGGAGGAGTACAAAACGGTAAAACGACCGAGGATCCGGGGGAATGAATGTGTAAATATTTGGATTATCAGAGCAGTCATGGGACGCATCAGGCTGTGAAAAAGAAGCAGCATCTATTGAAAGAATATCTGATGTGTCGGAATAACCAAGATCTGATGCATTGGGATCGCCCAGACCTGGTACTGAGATGAGAAAGTGTGCCACCGGGCAAACTTGTTTTGGTATCTGGGTTGGACTGCATTATAGAAAACATCATCTGGGAGAGTTCACCATCCTCAGCCTTTTTCCACGCTTCAAAAGCCTCGATAGAGTCGAAGTCCTCATTGGACAGGGTCCTTCTAGTATTCAGGTTGAGCTGTACCTGGTACGTTTTAAGGTCTTGCAGAGCCGCCTTCGCAGTCCATACATCTTTATACTTGTTTATATCTGACTGGACATATGAATTCCTTAGTCCAAACACTTTCGCCACAACTTGGACTAATGGCATATCTTCGACTTTATAGCTCAGGGGCACGAGTTCGGTAATTACGTTTCCTCCATCTTTTGGGGATGCCTGCGCAAGATTCTGATCATGCGCAAGCAATTTGGTTTCCAAGATAGAAAGTTGGCTAGCCAGTTCAGGTTTATCCTTGTCCCAGCCTTGGTCTTTGAGAATCAAACTGATGATCCTCACAAAGAGAGCCACATGCCTATCAACCATAAGCTTCCAGTTGGTATCATCTGGTGCTTGGCCCTTGGAGAGTTCTTTGGTCGCATTGGAAAAGAATATTAAGACCAGGGGTTCTGCCCGCCTCTCCTCTCTCATGCGCTTGTTGAAGCCCGGCTCCCTCAGCTCATTTAAAAACGCCGCAAATGTTCTCCTCACAGCCTCATCCTGGTAAGCTTTTTCCTTTTCGATCCCCTTAAATACTCCAGTCAATCGATTTTCTAGCCGACCCACAAAGCCATGAGGTAGCCTCGTGCTCTTGTGATCTTTGGCCAAACTTAGATCGCTTATTATGGAAGCTGATGATTTGTGAGCTCGTTGGCGGGGAATTGGTACGCTCTGGGTGCGACGGGGACGTTTTTGGAGAAGGTAGGCAAGATATGCTACTCGAAGAACATATAAGTACGCATCATTGTGACTGACAGGCCGTTTTCGAGTGACGGAAACATTTCGAGAACGGGGACCCCGACTTTTGCCGCTGTCGCTATCTAATCGTCGACTAAAGCCGCGAGAACGTGAGGATGCCGTCGACATGAGACCTTAGCACGTGTTTGCCTCTCTATCCGAACGAAGAGGTAGTTGAGCAGTGCCAGAGAAGAGATATAGTCATGGAGTCCTGCAGGCGCCAGTCTGCAGATGATATAAATAACAATCTTCTTGTTATTCAGTGTTGAATGCGGGTGTTCGTTATACGTTTTCCAAGGCTCGCTCACCAGCGGCCGGGAACGCGTATGCAGGACAAGGACAACTTCGGGTCGATGGATATACACAAGCGACAGGATAGAGACAATACTGAAATATTTAGAATAACCAGCTGGCCCGACAATACGTATGTGAGTTAGATTAGGGCGTGACTCTTGAACGCCCAAAAGCCGAAAATAAAAAGTTTCTTAGACTGGCGATGCTGATGAAAGATCAGGTGTTGGGTCTTGTGACTTCCAAGGTTGGCAGCAGAACGAGTTGGCTGAGTAGAAAAGCGTAGGGTGCTTTGCGAGCTCTGAATATGCGGATTTCTTGGCCGTACTGGGGAATGTTATGGTGGCAATCACCGTTGTTTGATCTATTTGGTTAATACTAGGTGGTGAGATGGTGGGGAAAGGTTGAGTGAAGCCATCCTTATTCTGTAGCCCTAGTCTGAGTGCTTGCTTATTCCTGGTCCGCTAGCCCGCTAGTGCGGCAGTCCAGCTGCTTCAAGATTATCCCCCGTTGGCTTCATGCCCGTTTCGGTTCCACTTCTGGTCCGCAAAAATCTTTGATTTTGTCGATTTTACGTGATGAGGAGGTTTTCTTCATGCAGGCTATCGGGAATGGGGTTTCGAATTTTCAAAAACAAACCATTCACTGACCTTTAAGACCATGCGCTTGATTGTCCGATTCAGGCGATATTAACCACGAGCCAGACAGGTGAAACGTCATTTCAATACCGCGAGCATTCGTCGATTACACATAGCTTGTTTCTTGCGTTTGCCCGGCTCCTTGGTTCGCGAGAAAGGGCTTTTCAGTGCTTCTGCTGTTTCCAGATGGGCTTACAAAACATGCTTTGGATGGACTATGAGCGGGAAAAGAGCTTGATCCCATCCACTGGTGGTAATGCCGCAGATTAATGCTGCCAACGTTATCGATGATGCCCTTATCAAACCTCACAGATCCTTCAAGTTGTACTGTACATGATGTGATTTAAAATTATACCAATGAAGTTCTCATCTAGGTTTATTGTAGCTTCAAGAACACTGCACCATTTCAAGCTTCCGTGGAATCCATTGCTTTCAGGGGATTGCTTGGCAATCGATTCAGCGTGACAATGACACTTAGCTACTTACTTGCCTTTCCCTCAGGCTGCAATAAATCAACCAGGTTTTGTATGTGTATATATCACTTTGGACAAAAAGTACTAGAATGATAAACAAAGTGAATGTATGAAGTTGAAAAACCTTTGTACTTGGTAAACATACCACTTTCATTGTTTTTATCATATAATAATGGTTATCATCATTGATGCCAATCAGGACGATATGTATAGTGTCTTGAAAGTTGCTACGTGCAAGTTATACGTTCGTTGCATTGCACATGCTGTGATAGTGGATTGTTCTTTGAGTGATGGAAGGTATGAAGTTAAAGAGGATCCATTTTGGTCCAGTTTATGGTAAGCACAGCATCAAAAAAAAAAAAAAAAAAAAAAAAAAAAGGGAAAAAAAGCTGTCCAACGCCGCACAATACTCTTATTTACATTTAAATCAAATACAATGCCTCCAAGCAATATCACCATTTGTCTTCTCCCGGTGCACGAGCCTTTTGAGAGTTAGCTTCTAGGAAACTAAATTGTTTGGCGAGATGGTTTTCCAAAACTTACCCGAACAGCATTGGGTCCGCCAAGTTCCCTTTCCAGTCCACCTTCAAATGTGCGCGGTGAGCTAGGTTTGTCAGGGTAGAACATGCTGACAACTCCGCTGAGGAGAAGGACAGAACCCCCAGCACATCCCAACAACAAGAAGCCTTTAGCGGGTTTGAAATGGGTATATTTTTCGGTAGAAAATATGGTTAAGATATCATTGTCTTCATGAACAGGCTCTCCAAAGTTTCTCCGATCCTGCTTATCCCACCAGTCGCCGTACGGGTCGCGGAATTGCCGTTTCTGGGCAGGAGGGTTGTAGTAGTTGTTATTCTGGAAGGGTACGATTATCAGCTTAGGTAAAGGACATAGAATAGTGCTGCCAACCCACCATCTCTGGGTCTTCGACAGTAGTCTGCGATGCAAATCGAATTTGTGAGGCCAATGCATGGGGGCGGGCGAGCTGGCAAACTGCCCGTGAGGACAGGTTCAATCCTGTCACAAAATGCCTCGACAACATCTAACGGCCTCGGAAGTTAGCTATTGCATCAATGGTATTTTGGATAAGTATTACCCACTGTAGAGGCTGGCACGGCGATTCGCCAAACGAAGTCGAAACAAAACAAGGCGTTAAAAACGTGATCCACAAGAGGTGATGGTAAATCCACAAGCTGAGGATTGTTCGGTTTGCGGCCGGTCAGGTGACGTTTACATAAGCTGATTATCAAAGAAATTGCCTCACAAGCCTGGGAAAAACCACTTCACACACAATCCACCAGCACAACCCATTTTCTTGTCACCAGCAGCACAAATTTGCCGATGACGATGCCAAACTTTATATCCAAATTTTGTGACAGACGAGCTATCGATTGATGGTACACCTACTTATTTTAAACGCGTTTTCGTTGGGATAGTCGGGGTCTGCTGCGGCTCTGCCCCTGTCCTGAAGCTAACAAGAAATGCAAAACGGCAGCCTTCGAGGCACGTCCCAGCACCACCACGACAGCGCGACATCCGAGCCTGAAGCCAATCTTCACAGTTTTCCTACACCGAAGGCTAATCCTGATTCCTCTGTAAACGATTCAGTTCCTAATGAGTCTAGACACGAAGATGAGAACCCCGATACCCTCTCACGACCACCACCCAAAAAGCGGAAACTTGCAGACTCTTCTGGTCGGAATACGCCTCGTCCAATCTCTCCTCCATGGAAGCGCGTGGCGATTGATGGGCCAACCTCCTTCATCGAAGGTGGTAGGCGGAAGTCGTCTAGGACAAACGTCGTACCGCTCGATCTGCTGCCTCAGTCGGATAAGAGACATACACGTGCCTCTCATCAGAATTACATGAACCCATCGAAGCCAACTCGTGTTTCACGGCATGGGAATTCTTCGTTAGTCCCGATGGCATCCCAGCCAGAAACAAATGGGAGACGTTTGTCAATGGGAAGGGGCACTACTAATGGCACTGATAGTCCCTCACCCAGGAAAGGCTCTCTCCGAAACCCGAGTTCCCTAAGCCCGTTCGGAAAACAGCAAAATGCACAAAATTCCAACTCTAGAAGAGGGCCGCCGAGAACCAGAGCTTCTAGCCTTGCTTCTTCTCATAACCTTAACAAGTCCATTATTTCAATTACGAACGGCAAAAGTGTCTCCAAGTCTCAACGAGGCCATGTTAGCCCTGCGGAAGTGTCACCTGTTGCTGTGAAAAATTCGAATATAATTGAACGAAGCCGAGAAACTGAAGGTGCAGAGCGGCAAGAAGCTGGATGGAATTCAGGTCAGAAATTACCAAAGCTACGGTTTAAGGTCAAAATGCCTTCTTTGGCTTCACAACATCCATCCCATGTTTTGCCGGAAAGGAGATACCTATCGTTCCGCGATTGGGTGGAAAATGAAGCTACAACGGACGATGAGACAGGCTTTTCAACACCCGAAGCCGCCCTTGCCGAGGCCTGCATGAGAACGAGAGTTTGGGAAGCCGGCCAACCTGGTCAATTACTAAGTAAAGAACGCTGTTCCCGTTACATGCCTGATCCTGCGGAAGAACCCCCTCTCCAGTACTCCCATCAAGACCACCTTGTCGCTCATGCCTTGTACTTCAAGAAATTACTCGATAAGGAACATAAGCAGCATCGACATCTAGCAAAGCTATTCGCTCAATGGTGCGCGGAAGTGTGGAGGAAGCGACACAAGCATCCAGAAGATATATTAAGGGAACAGCAGGAAGAAATCCGCCAGAAACGGAAACAACTTGTTAAGGATTTGCAGCGTCAGTTTGATGCGGTTCGCGCGGAAGTAGAGAAAACCCGCTTGGCCCGATGGGAGGAGCAAAGAAAGGCAGAGGATCAACTTGCATTGAACAAAGCTATCAAGCAGTCCACGCTCTTGTTTGAGATGAGGAGACCGGATAGACCGGATGATTCCCTACACGAGGAGAGCCAGCCAGATACTGAAACGGGTTCGGAGACAGATGAATCTAGCAATGATGGAACAGAAGATGAAAGTAATATGTCGACGACATCTGAGAGCGAGGGGGATGATGATGATATTAACCATGATGAAGGCTTGACGGCAGAGGAACTTCGTATGAAGTATGCGCATATTACTTCGAGTAACTTTGAAGTGGATGTCAAATCGAACCGCTCCTCGCGAGATTTCTCGATGTCTATCAGTGATGTCTCTCCTGACCTGAAATCCAAGATCGAAGTGGACTGCACGTTTTCACTGCCTGCAAGTGATACAGGTAACCGTGATGCAGACCTGGATGAAGTTGATTCGGTACTATTGGATGATAGCGACGAAGAGTCGACGGAAATGGAGGATGACATGGGTGACAGTGACGAAGATGAGGCTAGTAGTAGCGACGAAGAAGGTCCTGGTTTAATGGGATTTTTTGCCACAAAAATGGAAAAGGTTGACCAGGGAAATAATTCCCACAACCAGGATCTTGTCGAAACAGGTGGAGAAGACGGAGATGACGAAGACGAGGTCCTCCTTGTTCCCAATAGGACAAACGAGCAGGATGGTCAAGAATATCAACTTTCCCCCGACGAATCGGCAGAATACCGCCAACCAGGCCAAAAATTACTGATACACCAGCCCACTCGACATGATGACAATGTTAACAGCGAGCCAAAATCTCAAATTTCTAACAACCTTCGCCCGAGTAGAGATACCAGCAGTGAGCCTTCGCCAGAAACAGCTACAACAAAGCGTTCAGAGGTTGAATCGGTTTCTTCATACGAGCCTTCGTACGAACCAAAGCAAAACAACCTTGACGAGAGTCAGATTGATAATTCAGCTTCTCAACCATCTCCCCCCATCAAAACACCTATCCCACATCTTTTACGGGGGACGTTACGTGAATATCAACATTTTGGTTTGGATTGGCTAGCGGGCCTGTATGCCAGCAATATCAATGGCATTCTTGCGGACGAAATGGGTCTTGGAAAAACTATTCAAACCATAGCGCTCTTGGCGCACTTGGCCGTCGAGCACGAGGTATGGGGGCCTCATCTCGTGGTTGTTCCGACTAGCGTAATGCTCAACTGGGAAATGGAATTCAAAAAGTGGTGTCCTGGGTTCAAAATCCTCACATATTATGGCTCACAAGAAGAGAGAAGGCAAAAGCGCAAGGGTTGGATGGATGACGACCGCTGGCATGTATGTATTACATCATACCAACTTGTGCTTCAGGATCAGCAAACGTTCAAGAGACGAAATTGGCATTACATGGTCTTGGACGAAGCCCACAATATCAAAAACTTCCGATCCCAACGATGGCAAACACTCCTCACGTTTAAAACTAAAGCAAGACTCTTGTTAACTGGCACGCCCCTGCAAAATAACCTGACCGAACTATGGTCTCTTCTCTTCTTCCTCATGCCATCTGACGGCGGTGACACCGGTGTTGAAGGATTTGCTGACCTTCGAAACTTCTCCGAATGGTTTCGGCGACCAGTTGAGCAAATTCTCGAACACGGGAGGGAAACAATGGATGATGAAGCAAAAAAAGTGGTTACGAAATTGCACACTGTTCTACGCCCTTACATTTTACGCCGTCTCAAAGTAGACGTAGAAAAACAAATGCCCGCGAAGTTCGAACATGTTGTGCCATGCAGACTATCAAAGCGCCAACGATACTTATATGACGGATTCATGTCGAGGGCTCAAACGAAAGAAACATTGGCATCGGGGAATTACCTTTCCATCATTAATTGTTTAATGCAGTTACGAAAAGTCTGTAATCACCCTGATCTTTTCGAGACGCGACCGATAACGACTTCATTTTCGATGACGAGGTCTGCGATAGCGGATTTTGAAATCAAAGAGTTATTTGTCCGACGCCGCCTGCTAAGAGAGGACCTATTGAGCAAATTAGATTTAGACTTCTTGAACTTAGTTCCCATATCAAGAGAAAATACGTCGAAGAGGCTTGTGGACGATACCTCACGAATCATGGCCTTTGGTCCTCTTAAAGCACTACGTGAGCGCCAATATAATCGCACTAACTGGCGTATGGAATTTGATGGATCTTCAGTCCAGTCTGTGCTAACGTCAATGGAGAACTCATCTCGAAAAAGGAGGATGCAAGAGCTAGAACGGTGTCTGTACTTTGAGTCGAAGCGACACGGACAACGACCTGTGTATGGGGAGAGCCTAATCGACTTCATTACAGTAAATATTGGCATCCAATCAAAATCCCAACGTTTACCTCCACGCCGTTCACTTATTGACTGGTTTTCGCACCAATCTCCCACCATAGCGTCAATGATCTTATCAATAAATGAAAGGTCCCTTGCGATGGAGAACATTATACAGAAGTTTGCATTTGTCACTCCTGCGGTGGTTGCGTCGGATGTCACTGCCGCGGCCTTAACACCGATGGAGTCCCGATATTTCAATAAAGCGCTAAGGGTTCCGAATTATGACCCGTTTCATGAGGCACAGATGCGCCTGTCAATCGCGTTCCCAGATAAACGGCTCTTGCAGTATGATTGCGGAAAACTTCAGCAGCTTGACAAGCTTCTGAGGAAGCTACAATCAGGTGGCCATCGTGCTTTGATTTTCACGCAAATGACAAAAATGCTTGATATCCTGGAACAGTTTCTCAATATACATGGCCACCGATACCTTCGCCTCGATGGTGCTACCAAAGTGGAGCAGCGACAGATGTTGACCGAACGTTTCAATAATGATACGCGAATTCTGGCTTTCATTCTTTCTAGCAGGTCAGGTGGGTTAGGAATCAATTTGACAGGTGCAGATACAGTCATATTCTATGATCTGGATTGGAACCCGGCAATGGATAAACAATGTCAAGATAGGTGTCATCGCATTGGTCAGACTCGTGACGTTCACATTTATCGCTTTATTTCTGAATACACAATCGAATCCAATATTCTACGCAAGGCCAATCAGAAACGTATGCTCGACGATGTTATTATTCAAGAAGGCGAATTCACGACTGACTACTTTCAGAAGTTGGATGTGCGGGGCATGCTAACTGATGCTGTCGTGGATGGGCATGATGAAGCGAGTGCCGCTATGGACCGCGTTCTTGATACCAAAGTTGTCGGAACACCTCGGGCCTTCGAACAGGCAGAGGATAAAGAAGATATCGATGCTGCAAAGAACGCAGAGAAGGAGTTGGAACACGCAGACGATGGCGACTTCGAGGAGGGTAGCGTACCACACACCCCAGGCCAGCCCGGACCCAGCCAAGTTGGAACACCCATGGCAACAGAAGTTGAAGAGTATGAACCATCCGTTACTCATGTAGGAAACGCCAATACTCCCGCACACCTAGGATCGCCGTCAGCTCAGGTTGCACAAGATAAAGAACCGGAATCCGGTCACATTGATGATTACCTTTTACGTTTTATGGAATGGAACCTGAAGGACGAACCCTTGGTTCTGCCACCAGACAAGAGGAAGGGGAAGACGAGAAGAGGACAAGAGCATCGAATCAAAAGGCATAGATGATTTGTTCCACAGACTACTTACTTCCTTTAGCTTTGATCTTTTAAGCAGAATGGCGTTTGGTATTTTGATTTGTTTGGGCGTTGGCTTTGGCATAGTGGCTACGGGGAGGGGAAAGACCAAGTAGGGCTCCGCATCATAGACGATATTTCTCCCTTTTACTCTCCGTTGTATTCTGATTCTCTTTTTTTACCTCCTTCCCGTAATTCCACAACGAAGTATTCCGCACTCATGTACAGTATATATATATATATATATATCATATCTCTTGAAACTTTTGTTTCCACTTCACCGAGGTATGCTGAATTATGAAATTTGGTTTCACTGTTGCGAAGCTGAACCTCATTTTGACCCTCCAATGTGGATTTCTATGGATTCATCTAATTCGAATTTTCGGAGTACCTTTTGAAGCCCCGGTTGCCCAGATGAGCTTTGACCCCGACACGTGATAACCGCCTCAAGCTACTAGCCTTCCCAATTCTCATTCCAGCCACAGCTTCATGTATCCAGCTCTCGCAAACCGACTACCCCGCGTATTCCAAATCTAAGGTCGGAGCTGTGGGTAACACAAGAGTTCCTCATATCAATCATGGTTTGCCGAGGACAATCGTTGACCCTTGGGGATCTCCTTATCGAACCATCATGGCCGAGGTGTGTTTGGCGGATCTGGTTGGCTTTCCTCAGCGAGGACTGCCAGGATTCCAAAGCTGCCTGTCTTCTAAAACGCGCCGCAAGCCGCAAGCCACAAGCCACTTAAGGGAATGGCAAATACGCCAGAGCCAGCAGATGTGATACGTCAAGTTTTCTTCCTGGTTTCCCGCTACTTTCAGACTTTCTCTTCACGAAGTCAAACCAAACATTATTCAGACTAATATCAAGGATGGAAACTGGTTGTCAAATCCCGCGAGGGCCGACACCCTTAGACTGGATTGTAATGTTCAGTACTCCGTACCGTGGTCGAATATAACCCTGCTAACTTAACTAAGAAGTTGTTGGAATTCTGAACGAATCTTCCCAAAGTGGTGGTCAACTATGATAGCTTCAGCAATTTTTTTCAAACAGCCAGCCCGAGCGCTATCATCATCTATCTGAGTTAGCTGAACATTTCCAGCACTGTGACCCCGGAAGTCATTATTAGCTGGTCGAACAGGCGGCTAAGAACAAAATATACATATACGGATATATATAGCAAAAATGTTTGGCCTCGCAGCTTTGGGCCAGAAATGCGAGGGGAAGCAATGCCAACCGCAAGAGATCGACGTTTGGAACACGGGACAGTCGATGGGGGTTTGCGATGGAGCAAAAGTTAAAACGTCAGCCCTTGTTGCAAGAAATACACGTTCGAATGTAAAATACGCAGCACTGCAGAACAAAATAAACTGCAGTGGCTGAGGCCCAAGTCAATATCTGCATGCCTCAGCACGGAGAGTGACCTGGGGAAGTGTCCTGCATGTGGACTTTTCCGTTGGCTGGTTGCCTGAGAAGGTTCTCACCAACAAAATATCCATCCAGGCTTTACCATCACATACACAACCCAATTACTAGTGGATGGTTTGCTACATGATCAGTGATCGGCATTCGGTCACCCGGCAATGCTCTGTTATGCCTCCCAGGTGCATTTGCTTGAATATAAGCTGGAAAACGACGTCTTGCTATCCCTTTTTCTCACTTTTGCCGTGAATGCCTGGAAGCCGCCTAGAATCGATTACACCGATTCAGTTCAAAACGGCAAGTGGCGATTGGAGGGATTTGCCTCGTAATGTCATAGCTTCGGGCTAATGGTCGGCAGCCCGGACAAAACCGCCCAGCTGGGCTACCGAGCCACGTCTGATTGGGCTGTCGTCCAGATTCTTTGTTGTCACCACCCCACTCAACTTCACTGGCTGCCGTTGCGTGGTAGTAATGGAAACCTGATTACCACCATAGCTTACCTGGGTAATCTGCAGGGGATTGAGAGCATGATCAGAGGTGACATGACGTTGCTAGCTGTATTGCTGCCTTGACTAGGTCGTTACGAAGGAAGCTCCAGTAGCTCGAATGCTCGCCTCAGCCAGTGTCTCGCCGTTTGGTCTTATCTCTTGGATATGAATCGCCAAGTGCTTGCTATTTCCCATGCTGTTTTTCCCTGTCATATTTGTGATTTGCACTTCGTACTGGGAACCATGGCCATGATACCAACGTACAGCTCAACAATGCCACCGCCCTATACTTAGCTCATGCTTGGATCTTCTCGATCTTGCAGAATATAGGCTGGTTCACTTTCAGTGGATGAGCTATCTTTCAGGGCTTGGTTCGAGAAATCTATTTTATCTGGATTCCCCTTTCCAATTACCGCTAGCCTGGTTCGATGAACTTTTCCGTGGCTGGTTGAGGGTTGTTCGTTTCCTAGTGGGGTGCCACTCCTGTCTAGTCAATTATTGACGCATTGGCGAACGACCGCCTCGAAATGCAGCAACTCCGTGTACATTCGTCCTAATGCTCCACTGTCTTGCACTTCTTCCTTCTTCCTTTTAGATATTCAGTCATAGCACTCTTCTACTCTTCTTCCCCCGATCTCTTTTATTTCATCTTGTCCGAGTCGATGATGAGGCAATGGAGTCGGTAACTTCCTCCATTTAATGGCTTGCTGCGAAACGTTCAAATTTCCTCACCGAAACCCCTACCTGTCCTCAAACTCCTCTCCCATCTCTTTGTATCCTTTCACAAAACCATCAATCAAAATGAAGAATTCGATTCCGTCTGAAGTTTGGGAAGACAAACGTGCCGAGATTGCAGCTCTTTACAAAGAAGAAGAATGGCCTTTGAAACAAGTCATTAAGAAAATCAGAAGCGATGATTTTAACCCAACGTAAGTTTTTCCCCTTACCCCAACCTATCCCATGCACTGACTTAAACAACCGCAGTGAAACCCAACTCCGCAGTAGACTGAAGAAGTGGGGAGTTACTAAACCATCGCGCCAAAAAAGGAAGAAACAGAGTGACGGACTGACGACTTCGCCTACCGTCAAGCACCCAAACCGGTTAGAACTGACCACCCTGAATGAACCACCATCCACCCAGGCCGCGTCTATTTCCGGCCGGGTCGTATGGAACGATCTCAAAGGATGGATAATGCCATCAGGATATAGCCAACAACACATATTGAAAAACTCACCAATGCTCGAAGGACAGACCGTTGCAGCAGATTGGGCATCGTCGAACCACATAACCAATGACAATCATGCACCATTCTCGCTACAGAATTTCACCACCCCATCCCCATTATCCTCTGTCCATTCCTATGGACATCCGAACCCTTCCACAAGCTCGATCGCAAACAGTGCCATAGATGCGCCTATGGTATGCCACACAAGATTTACAGGTTCTGCGACCAACATATCAGTGAGCGATTCATTTGCGAAGGCGTGTCAAGGAGAGTGGTCATTGCAGACAAGCCCTGTGAATACAGAAAACAATCCGATGACTCCATGGGCCTATATTGAACCTGACGTATCCCACTCCTGCCCATCCCATCTTTTTACCATAGGTGACGGAAGCTCATCAATCCCGGACTATACGGAATATAATGAGCCAACAGCCAGAGAGGATTACACCCAGCAATATGGAGGCCCTCCAGCACTGCCGCCTGCTTCTAATCTAGAGATGCTAGTGTTGGATCCTGAAATAAAAGCCTGGAGACGTGCCGCTTTCACGCATGTTCGCCCAGATGGTGTCGGAACGACAAATCCAAGGGTCGGCCGTGATCCTCTAGTAAGACGCCGGCCGGAAATGAAACGCAAAAAGGATTCTTTATCGACAAACATAGTCTACCAACAATCCAATCGCAGTTAGAAATGATGACACAGCCTGCTTCGCACCCAGACACCCCACTATCGGTGCCGGAGACCACTTCCAGTTGTCAAAGCGCGCTATCTCCAGTGTCTGATATAAACCATAATTACTCCGCACCGAACCCCTAGCCAATCAACATCAAACTTCCAGCCGTTCGTTCAATTGAATCCGGCTTCATACCTGAGCAGAATTCAATTACCATCTTACCATCTGCGAATGGAAATCCCCTGTTCACTCTATTTTTCGTTGAAAAATATTCTCCTATCTTTCGATCAGCATTCATGTACATGAATTTGCAAATTTCATCAACAATCATTATATCTATTTCGAGTCCTCGGAAAAAGCCTAGCGGATTGGTAATTATATGGGATATTCCGCTATTATGGAACTTTGCATCTCGCTTTGACTTTTGACGGCCAATTCTCTGTTAACCTCTTGTGCAGAGTCAGCCAGTTTACCTTTTTGTCATCCTTTCTTTTTTTCCACATTGTACTTTGGGTTCTGGATGGGATAATTTGGAATGGCAGGAACTTTGGGATCTTATGGCATTTGGATATGACGATCGCTTTATATATACAATATCTCTATGTATGCTGCAGTCAGTATTTAATATGTTTCTATTTCATCTTTTTCTCGATTCTGTTCTAAATCTCATCCTCGAGTTGACGGACATCCTTGGCCGATTAACTCCCAATTTATGGTTTACTGCCTTTCCGAAGTTATACCGTAGGAGCTGGGCCATTATCGCGACCGAGGTGACAGAGTGAAGCTTGAATTTCTGTTGCTTATTCTTCACACTTGTTATCGTTCGAAATAGCATTCCATGCCCACATCACTAGAACCTATCTCTCCCTCGGTCGTAAGCTGTTTGATCTGATCTTCGAAAGGGACACGCAGTTGCTGTGCTACCCGTCACATCCACAGGTCACCACCGCACCCTATGCCATTGACAAGGCGGTTGGCTGCTAGTCAAGCAAAAGCTGCACACCAAGATATCCCACCGTTCAAGCTTTTGTCTTGTCCAATCCCGCAAAAAGAGACATTTCTCTAGTCCGTAAACAAGCATAGTACATAAAAGCACATGTATATGCAACCTTGAACGAAGCATCATATGCACGGGATGACTGTGCATATGGGTGAAAATCATGTCACTTCTCCGCACATCAAACAATGCATGTGTATTAGTGCACACATGAACATCTCCTCTCCTCAAATCGGACCTAATTGAGGATCTTGCTTGAGGCATTTTGTTTCTTTTTCTACACAGGGCGATAAGCGGCTTCAAAGCTTTCGTCACCCTACTGGTGAAGAAACCATTTTAGACTTCCCCCCAAAAAGGATTCCGTTCTCTAGAACGAAGATCCGAAGAAAGTCGTATAATGTGTAAGTTATTGCGCACCATCCAGGTTTGTCCTTGGATTGATCGATCAATACGCTGGACAAGTCAGGTTCAGTGGAAAGCTGACATCCTCGAATATACGCAAAGCAGCTTCAGGCTGCCTGAAGTCTCGTTTTCACCATTGTTGATGCCAAGAAGACAAGAGCAGAGATTGTTCCCTGGCGTCTTGGAGCTCTTGCGAGATCCAGCTCATCCACTTGAAAAAAAGCTCACTGCTGTTAGTTTAAGTTACCGAGCCACTAGCGGTCCGTTAGTTCGTCATGCTTAGTGCTCACCGATCCTGAGCAAGGATGAATCTTTTCACCCATACGCCAACCACCGCTTCGGCTTGAAGCAGATCTTAACCTCGACTCGGCACGGTCAGAATGCGACCACTCCAGCACATATCGAAATCCTTGCCCCACTACTGCATCAATATTCCACAGCCATCCTCACGGAGAGGAGTACATCTACGATGGATGTCCTTAGGGGCGAGATGCATTTGTTACTTATTTCGTTAGAGTTTGTTAGGTTCGTCCACAGTCATAATAGGAACTCAGTAGTACTTACTCCGTACTCACTTACTGTATATGTACTGTGCCGATGCACGGTATCGCCCACTGAACAAGCAGCAAGCGAACTCAACTCGGACACTGGATAGAAAATTTCAAGTTCCACGTAATTTGTGTTTAAGGCCCGATTCAAAGCCGGTAAATGCCATACCCGTTGATTCTCATTCGGGCGCGGTCAGCGCGGACGGACCCAATGGTGCCACGACCATCAACTTCGGCCCTGATGAGAAATGTCAGAATACGGATCCCGTCAGGAGGCAATTTGCTGGTTGAAATAGCATTGAACTCTCCGGATTTTAGAAGAATAAACTGATATCGAGAACTTTACCTCGTCGAAATATCTCTATATTCTGCAGCGTTGTCACCGACCCTATCTACACCTGATGCATGCATGATATGGAGAAATTTTTCCAAAGCTCTCAATATTTATGAAGTAATAATTGAAATAAAAGAAATTATTGACAATAGAGTTTGTGATGCATTAACTTCACGCTGTTCACAATCCCTACTTTTTAACTATGACGGGTTGAGAAGCCTGACGACAAAAGAGCTTCAACTAACGGCGGAATCAACTTCTCTGTATATGTATGTACAGTACTTGTACAGTACAAGAACGTGCATGCTGTCTCCCCAAAGTCCTTGAGAGCTCAGACTGGCAGCGGAAGGAAGCAGATTATAGGTGTGACTGATCCTCCGAAGCCCCAACGGCAAGGATTTTCTCCTGATCTGGCGCTGCGTTGCGCGCCATTGGGCTGAGATCCATCAAGATCGACATTGCAGAAACCCAATCAGAAGAAACCCTGTGGGGGAGCCCAGGAGCCGATGCTTGGAACAAGGCTGGTTTGGGCTGGAGATTTCCTTCAGAGAAAGTCATGATGGATGACATCGATCTGGGATGGCTGGCTGGCGTCATCGACAGCTCCATTCTCGAGCCGCTCCAGTTTAAAAGGTTCGCCGAAGTCTGTGATGGTCCAGTGGGAATTAGAGGGACTCGTAGGTACCGCAGCCTATCTTGATGGCTAGGACTTGTCATAAGTTTCCAGATCTAGCCACGTCAATCCTTGTCGTGCTGGACCTTGACATCTGCAAAGCTTACGATTGACAGGAGCACGTCCTCAGCGTTCATCTGCAAGAAGGGAGAGGGGCCACTCGGCGTGGACATCCTCAGCCATTTCCTCGTATTAAAGTACCCGATCTCGGCCGGGGCCCCTGGTTAAATCTGGAGTTGGTGGATTGCATTCTCTTCCAATAGCAACGAAGTTGGTTCAGCATCGTTAAGTTGGGTCTATGTGCTTCTCGATGCGAAGTGTGCAAGATAAAACTTAAATACATAATATCTGATCATTACCATGAGCCATCTTGGCAGTATCAACTGAATGCCTTATCAGACTCAGACAACCAATAGTGTGTCCACCGTTTGCTCAGGTGCATGACAGTAACGCCTGTTCCTCATGAAGAATTTCCGAGCCGAGTTTCCATTGTCGGATCACGGGCTCCACTCAACCAAACATGCTCTTCAAGAATCCAATTGGTGGCTGCACCTTCCAACGATGCAGCGGGCAACGGAGTGCTCCATGGATTGCGGAGCGTTCTACAGCCAGCCGCCATGAGACGCTGGTGGTTGGGGTGTCCACATCCCGCAGTTCTCACATCGACCGATTCAGATGGCGGGTGGGTGGGATTGTGGGGCATCGAGTGGGGGCCTCTCATTTCCTCTCTGGATTTTTCCAATGATTGATTGGGGTGCAATTAGCTTACAGGCGGTAATAATGGAGTCGAAAGATATTCCAGGGCAAAACGCACCTTATGGTGAAATTTCATAACGATGGATCATTTGATAGCCCAGAATATGCACGAATCCTATGTTATCCGTTACGTCAGATTTAACGACATTGAAGGGATTAATGGAACTATATATCTATGGGCAAGCAAGGTCCTAAAGATTTGAAAGGAGAGCCCGAATTCCGCCTCGCAAACTTATGCGCTCAGCATAACTAAACTTATTGAGATGCTGGACAACATCAGTATGAGACAGAACACGACACGGCGTCAAGCATCGATACAAATGGATTTCTTTCGACCCAGTGTTTCGAAAATTGTTTCGCTCTTCGGATTTCTCCAGTATCCAGTCATCTTCTCTTTTTTTTATTCCTAGGAAACTAATAGGATGTAAAGAGGAGCTAGGGTACAATAGGAGTATCAATAGCAAAAGTATTTGTACTGTACCTGGTGTCTCATAGAACTTCTCCTATACTTCGTACGTTAAATGGAAGCAAGGCAAGAGAATATAACGCTTCTGAGCAACCACAGAGACACCAGTATAATGAAACCAGGACCACATTTCTTCTCTCTTGCGCAACCCCGCTGCCCCGCTGCCCCGCTCGTTTCAGAAAATTTCCTTGGAATATTGTGCAACTTTCATGCCATGCTAAGATGCACAGATTGGTTGTATCACACGTTGTGTATGTCAGGAAATTCGGAGCCCAGTGTAGGAAAATACCCGACGGCCTTCCTGGTAGGCGTCTCAGTGTTCCTGTCTGCTTCCTCAAGCATCAAGGGTTCAGTCTGTCTTAATTCCAGTATCCCCTCCTGTTGCTCAAAAAAATCCCTTGTTTGACCTAGGTCTGCCGATCCATTTATACCAAATGTTAAAAACAAACGCTCACATAGCGAATGAATAAACCCCTATTTGCCGTCTTGGGGGGGGGGGGGAATAAAAGTTCAGAAATATTTGATTGAATGATCCCAATAAGTCTCAGTACATCGTACAAAGTAAATTGCCTATTGTGCGTTGGGCTTGATCACAGATTTCGCTCTTTTCTGGAGCGGACAGGCCTTTTGAAGAGTGTGCGGCTTCACACTGGGGTGATTGCCCCAGCACAAAATTTCCCAACCATTCCCTGTGAAATGAAGTTTAAGTTACTGGCCAAAAAGACTCTTTCCCATGGAGAGCTACCCTCAATATACATATCAACCTCTTCCAGCCATTGCCTCAGTCGGAAAGACTCCTCCTTTTACCCGCCTTCTTCTCCTGAGCTCGGGTCAACCTAACGACCCACTCCAGGGAAGTCTGTTAACCTATGCGTTGGATCCGGATTTCGCACCTATACCGCCTTACGAGGCTCTTTCCTACGTTTGGGGCACGGAGGCAGGACAAGTTTCCATCCACGTCGATGGACGACCAATTGCCATAAAGCAAAACTTGGACTCAGCTCTCCGTAGCCTCAGGCTGCCAACGCAAGCGAGAAGAGTTTGGGTGGATGCACTCTGCATAGATCAGTCAAATATAGAAGAACGGTCAAGGCAAGTAAGGTATATACGATTTGTGTACAAGCATGCTACGCGAGTCGTCGTATGGCTCGGATGCTGGACTCCCGGCGTGGAGATGGCTTTTGAGCTTGCAGAGCGACTTGCAGTGGTGCGGGAGAGCTGCGGTGCAGACAAAGTTTCTTTGCAAAAAGCTGTTGTTGAGCTGGCAGAAGGAGCTCCAGAGGCGTTCGATCACCTCAACCGGTTGTTTGATCGACCGTATTTCCTCCGGAATTGGTGCATCCAGGAGGTTGTTGCAAGCAGGTGGGCTATAGCGAGGTGTGAGGGATTGGAGATGAATTTCTTTGACCTCATTGCCACAACCCCATATATATCTGTGAAGCGGGACCAGATACTGCTCGGAATGCCATTTAAATTCTGGAATATGATATTCATGGTTCCGCCAACCTTCAAGCGAACTTCGCGGTGGAGCCGTCGAACGATCATTGGGTTCTCTGACATTGCTGCTCGCAAC